TTGGTTAGTAGCAAAAGGAGCACGGCCGGAGAGGTTAGCGCAGGCGGTTAGTAGAGAGAAGCAGGGCACAGCGCACGCACGCTGGAAGAGAAACGGAGAGAAAAGCGGCACAGGTTAGTTTGCTGAGCTCCAGGGACAGACGTGTTAGTAGCAGCAGAGAGGACCAGGGGCCTAAAAAGGAACCGAAAAGCTTCTGCACATCCGACGCCCCGCTCGGCCACAGAATCGCCCGTGGGTGCCCGCTTGCCCGGGACACCCCCAGGCTGCAGCTCGCCCGGACCTCGGCTCTTCCCACGGCAGGGCCTGGTGCTCCGCACGGCGATTCTGTGGGCGACGGGGCAGCTCCGGGCCTCCCTGGCCAGCGTACTTACCCACGCTTTTCCATTCCCCTTTAAAGGCCACGTGCGAGGTCCCCGGTTAGTAGGAGGGGAAATGCGACGGGTTAGTAGGGCATGCGTTAGAGCCGGTTAGTCGGTTAGTTCGCCCGCGAGCACCTGGATCCCAGCGGCGGGGGCAGCATCTCGGTGGGGGAGATGCCGGGTTAGTGGGTTAATAATGGGACACGCATGCACCGCAGGCCCCGGTGCTCTCCTGCTGCTGGAGAAGATGCCGGTCCAGGCTGGGGAAGCCGTATGCAGCACGCCAAGCCCCCGCGCTGCCCAGGCCTGGATGGGCTCCTGGCACCTGGATCCCACCCAGCTCCCCCGCCTTGCAGAGCCCGAGGCCCGGGCAGGGAGGAGCAGGGCACATCGGGGCTGTGCAGCTGGGCAGGGGGAGGCACCACGTGCCCCTTACCCCGGGGTAGGTGAGGAGCAGGCACACGGCGTGCACCTCCTCCAAAGGGACTGGGGGCAATCGGACTGGAGACACTGCACGGTCAGTCCCGTCATGGGTCCGGGGGAAACCTCTGCTCAGTGCCACGCTGCGGGGTTTGACTGCATTTGCTGCAGGTGCTACCGTGTCCGATGCCAGCGGGACTCTCCTAGCCGTGAACATGGAGCTGCCCCCTGCAACGCAGCCTCCGCACCCGGGATGTGGCAGTGGGTCGCAGCGCCACACCTGAGCCGGGACGTGGCGTAGACAGCAGCAGGCTGGGGCTGCCTGCACCCCGGCACTGAGGTGGGGGAGCATCCCCGCGCCTTGCCCCAGGCACCGGGCGTCAGAGCACAGCTGCTTGGGGTGGTTGGCACCTGCCTGCTGCCCAGCTCGGTGGCTTGGTGCTTCTTGGAGGAGCCTCCATCAATGCCACCTACCCACAGCTCCCTGCAGCCCTGTCCCCGGCACGCTGGCCAGCCGTGGGGGAGCCAGGAGGGGCTAGCGCATGGGTGACAGGTCCCCTCTTGTGCAGCCCAGCGTTGCACCCACCAACAACGGCTGCAGCATGGAGGGGGATCAGGTAGCGGCACCAGGCAGGCAGGAGCAGCTGTGGCACCCCACGGTTTCCCCAGTTCATTGACCCCACACAATCCCAGCTCCATGCAAAGGGAGGGCATCGGCATCCTCCCTCCGCTCACCGCCACGGCCCTAGTACGGGAGTCCCTGGCCGTGCACTTGGGGCGGCCCCTGGCTCCAGCACGGATGTGCCAGGGCTTCCAGGAGCCGCGTGCCTTCCTGGGTGGGCTCCTCTCCGCCAGCTGCCTGGCTCTGGGGTCGGGGTGGAGAGCAGAGGCCGGCGCTGGCTTTCCTCTGCTCCCGCGGTGCTGCCTCCGCTCAGCGTGTCCTGGCTCAGCACCGGGGCTCCCCCACACCGACGGCAGCCCTGCAAAGAGGCGGGCGGGAGGCGTCAGAGCTCCCCTGCCCAGTGCCCAGCTGTGCCCCGAGACAGTCACTTCCTAAACCCCAAATGCCGGAGGCTGCACGGGAGGGAGATGCACCCTGCTCAGACCCAGCTCACTCCCTTCCAGCCCTGTGTGATGCAGGAGATGGGCAACACAGACCGAGGGGCTCACCCCTCCAGGGACCCTGCACCCCTCCTGCAGCTCCTACCTGGGCCCACGAGCACCGGTGACCCCCATCCTCCCCTGCTCCGCACGGGGACTGCGTGTGAACAGACCTCAGGTCAGTCATTAGCAGCTGCAAAAGAAAGCAACCAACACAGCAAGAGAGAACAGCACGCCACTCCTTCCTCCGGCACCATCCAACCCCACTTAGCCTAGCCCCGGGCTGTCTTGTGGGGGCACGGACAGCGCGTGCACGGGCATTTCTCATGAGCAGCGTAAGGGTGGCCAAGGAAGTCAATGTTTTGGATGCGCGCCCTCACGTGCATACACGCGTGTGTGCATGCATGTGCGAGGGAGGGAGAGCAGGGTGGGGCAGCGGCACGCCTGGCTGATGGCGGTGCAGCTGTGCTGGCTGCAAGGCGGATGTACGGGCTACAAAATGGGGGACGCCGCCCAGCTGCTGCTTTCTGGCAGGAGACAAAGGATCCGGAGATGTCCCTGGGGGCTGACGGCCTGCCACGCGGCCCCTCCCTGCCTCCGTGCATCCCCTCTCCGTGCTGGCTCTGGAGGCCCGGAGGGGCCACACTCCCAAGCACCCCGTCCACCCCAAGGACCCTCCATCCTGCCTTCCTGCAGCCTTTGCAACCCGATGGACCCCAGGGCAGTGGACGCTGGGTGCCAGCACGACCTGAGCCCAATGCACAGATGCACTCTGCAGCCGTGATGGGCTCTCCACCCGGCTCCAGACCCCTGCACCTTGCTTGAAGCCTGCTCTCCCCGGACCCGCAGCCCATCTGCAGAGCACCCCGGGCTGGGGCTGGAGCAGGAGCTGGGCCTGCTGCAGCATCGCTAAGGAGAGGGGCCAGGGTGCACGGGGTCTTGGGGGGCTGGGTGTGTTAGGAGGGCACGGTGCAGGCACGGGGGGCACAGTGTAGCGGCCTGCTGGGGCAGCCGGAGCCAAGGGCTGGGGGACATCTTTTCTCCATCCCTCAGCCTTGCCTTCCTTCCCCAGCCCCTGTGTCTGCAGCTGCTGGAGAAGTGGCCCTCCTCCTCCTCCTCCTCCTCCCCCCTGGATGCAGAGACAAAGGAGCTGGGAGCAGAGGCAGGAGGCAGCCTCGCTGCATGCATGCATCCACCCATCCCAGCGTCCAGCCCCATGCACCTGGGCACCGCAGGAGGATGCTCCATCCCCTGTCGCAGGGGCATCTCTGGGGCCTGCTGGCCCCGGGGCTCCCCGGCGCCCGAGCCCAGCCTTACCTGGCTGCAGCAGCGTGGGAGAGCGGAGCAGGCCAGGCTGGCGAGCGGCTTTGTGTGCCCCGTGCACAGGCTCCGCCCGGCTGCTGCGGCTCCCCGTCATCCCTCCCCTGCCTTCCCCCAGCCCGGGGGGAGCAGGTGGGAGCATCTGCGCCGAGCCAGGGACAGCTGCCGCCTGCCCCAGCCATCTGGGCTGCCACCGCCTGGGCCTGGGGCAGCCACCCCCTGCCCCAGCCTGGCCTCTGAGGGTGGGCAGGGGGTCCGGGAGGGCTGCACCCTGCACCCTGGCTGTGCACGGGGGCTGGCAGGGGCCTGCAGGCAGCACCTTGGGGTGCAGAGACAGGCAGGGGGGAGCCATCAGCCAAGCCCCGCTTCTGCTCCTGCAGTCAGCCCGGCGGGCAAAGGCAGCTCGGGTGAGCACAGCTCCGTGCACCTGCCACAGTGGCTGGGGCTGGCTCTGGCGTGCTGGCAATGCACGCAGACTGGGCCAGGGACCGGCCCGGCCCAGCGCAGCAGCCCTCCGGGCTCCAGGGAGGTTGCCCCGTAGCCACGCAGCATCCTCCTCCGCACAGCTGCGGGCACTCAACGCGCCAGCATCTGGAGAGGCAGGTGCAGCCTGGTCCCATCCACGCTGCCCTCACCCAAGCCCACAGAAAGGTGCTATTCTGATGCCCCCAACCTTGCAGAGGAAGGGGTGGTGGAGACACGGCATGGCCCAGCTATTCGGGGGGCTAGAAATGCAGCCAGCACGTGCCCCAAGTGCCAGGGATCCCCTCCTTTGGGCTCAGAGGGGCTGCGTGTCTCCCTGGACGGGTCCCATCTGCACTCGCTGGGCTCGGGTCCTGGCCTGGCTGCAGGTCCCATAAGAACAGCAGGGTCCCACACACGGGGTCACACCGGGGTCCTTGTTGCCCGGTGTCACACGGGGCAGAGAGCTGGGGCTGGAAGGGAGCATGACCAGGTCTGCCCAGGGTTTTCCCCCGTTCCTGTCCCCCTCGCAACCTCAAGCATCGAAGGTCTAAGGAGGGTCTGATTCAGAGGCCGTGCCCCTCGCCCCCCTGCTGAATAGCGATGGATGCCCCTTTCCCCCAAGCCTGTGTCCAGTCCCTGGGTGAGTCTGGCTGGACTCTGCTTCCACCAAGTCTGGCGGCCACGAGCTCGACATTGGGTGAAACGAACATCTTTGTGTTCGTTTTAAACCGATGGCCTCCTAGTTTCATGCTGTGACCCCCTCCTCCTGTTCAGGGGACAGCGAATCCCACTTTTAAACCCCACTTTTCACCACGTAGTAGTTTACAAACCCTTCTCCTGTCCACCCTCAAGCACCTCTTTCCGAAGCGGAGCAGGCCTGGCCTCTTGAGTCTGCTCCTAGAGAAGCCCCTCCAGGCCGCTCATCATCCTCATTACCCTTCTCTAATTCTTCCACCTCCTTGTTGACCAGACCTGGGCACCGCGTTCAAGGGACCGATGCTTCCTGGATTTATTAAGAGGCATCGTGACACTTTCCGTTGCATTCACAGTTCCCTCCTCAATCACCCTCAGGCTGCGTTTGCCTTCCTGAAGGCAGCTGAGCACAGGGCTGATGTTTTTAGCCATGTGGCAACGACACCCAGATCTCTTTTCTGCATGGAGCCCATTGCACAGAGCCCGTTGCAGCCCATCCCGGCGGGAGCTGCAATGGGTGATTGGCACTCTTGCTGGCTGCCTGGTCGAGACCACCCCAGAGCCAGACCCGCAAGGACACCCATTCCCTATGGGACCCAGCAGAGACCTCCCGCCTGCCCCACCTGATGCCGGCACCCCTGGGTGAAGCACACAGCCCCTTGCTGGATGAAGCCAATGCACCTTTATTGAGCTTTGCTCCGAGGGCAGCCGCGGGGGGCAGGCAGGTCCCAAGCCCACGGCCTCCCACGCGGCGTGGGGGGCCGGGGAGGAGGAGGTAGAAAAAGCGGAGGCCGTGCCGTCGGCGCTCACTGCTGGATCCGCCGAATGGACTGCACCTGGCAGGTCTGCGCGTGGGAGCCCAGCTCCCAGAAGTGCTTGTAGTCCCCGCCGTGGCAGTCGCACTCCAGGATGTACTGGAAGCCCCGGTAGCCGGGGTACTGGAAGCAGACCCAGCTGGGGAGCAAGCATAGGGGAGCCGTCACCTCCCCTCCCCGCGGAGACCCCCGGGAGCAGGTCGTGGGTCCCTCCTGCCCCAGCTTGCCCCGGGCCAGGACCCCGTGGGGCAGGTACTCACGCGCCAGAGTGGACGCGGAAGGATCCCACCTCTTTGCTGTTCCAGCCCATGGCCGGCAGCGAGGGGTAGTCGTCGCTCAGGTCCCCTTTCCTGCCTAGGAAGTTCTCCCGCTCGTAGATCGTGATCTTGCTGTCCCGGTGGTTCTGCGGGGAGCACGGGGCCCGCGTGAACTCAGCACTGCCGCCCTGCCCTGCTCCCCCAGCCTGCGGACGGGGGCCACCGAGCACCCCTGAAACAGCTCAATTGAGGCCCCCAGGCTGGCCGTGCCGCACGAGTGCCCATTTGCTCCTTTAGATGTGGTTAATGCGTGGTTAATGCCTGCACCTTTAGCAAAGCCCGTCTTTTGCCGGCGTGTGCGGTAGTCATTGGAGTAAAATGGGTGCCAGCAAATACCGCCTGGCCTCTCCAGGAAGGGAGAGGAGGCAAGCCTGAGCCTGGGCATTGCCTGCCCGCTGGTCACGTGAAGGGGAGATGGAGCGAAGGGCCCCCCTCCGCATCGGGACCCTGCAGGGAGCGAGAGCGGGTTCCCCCAAAAGCCGGGGGGGGCCGGGCGGGCACTCACAGCGCAGGCGATGGGCCGGAAGGAGTTCATGCGCTCCACGTGGTAGGCGTTGCTGCCGCTCCAGGCCTCCCAGCTGGGGTACTCGCCACGCTCCAGCACGAACTGCTGGCCCTGGAAGCCCCCGTGCTCGAAGCCCACCCACCTGCGGGGAGAGCCGGCTGGGGTCAGCGCCCAGCCTGCTCCCAGCTGCAACAGCCCTGCGCCCGCAGCAGACACCTGCCAGGTCCGTGCCCTTGGCTCACCCCATAGCCAAGGGCAGAGCTGCTGCGGGCACCGGGGTAGCATCTTGCAGGACAGCTCCCGGGTCAGGGGACGCATCCAGCCCCCCGACAGCACCCAGGCAGGGCTGTGGGGAGCATGGCAGCTGCCCCAGGCAGGGGGCAGAGGGGTAGGGCCCCGTGCGGGACTCACGCGCCGCTCTCGATCTTGAAGGAGCGCACGGTGTCGAAGCTGAGCTCCGTGATGTTGTAGCACTCGGAGGTGAACTCGTGGCGCCGGCCCTGGAAGTTCTTCTCGTCCCACACCACGATCTGGGGAGCAGAGCGGGGTCGGGGGCTCGCGGGGCTCCAGCTCTCGCCCCGTGATACCCACCCAGGAAAAGGCATCTCCTCCCCTCCGGATGCTCAGTGCTTGCAGTGCAGCCTCCTGCCCCGGCTGCATGCCAGCAGGGAGAGGGTTAACACCCCTGGGGGTATTGCATCCTCTCCCCGCACCCCCGCCAGCCTGGCCGGAGCTCCCTGGGGGTGGTCCCATGCAGCGTTACCCCTGGCAGTGCAGGAGGGGCTTGGAGGGGCCTGGGCATCCGCTGGCCCCCAGCACCATCACCCCCCACCCTCATCCCCAGCCCAGCGCACCGCACTGCACCGCACCACACCTTCCAGAGACCGGAGAACTTGGTGCAGTGCTGGCTCATGGCGGCTCCTCCAGCTCGGTCCCGGGACTGCGAGAAGATGCGAGCCCTGAGTGAGCTCCTAAATTTGCCTCGGACCACCCCCCCGTCCCATTCAGACAGCAACCTCCTCCCCGGGAACAATCCTGGTGCAGCTGCACACAGCTGGGGCTGCTCGTTGCTTTGAGCGGCACCATCAATGCCCCTGTGCCAGCCTTGCCGGGCGCTGCTCCGAGGGACCCGCATGCTCTCTTGCAAGGCCAGGACCCCCGGGAACCGCCCTGCCCTCTGCCCAGGTGGGAGCGGCTGGCGCGGGGGGGAGCCCCCCGGGGCGCCGCGGCCCCCAGCCAGCAGAGCCGAGGACTGCAAATGGGGCCGAGAGGCCAGAGCTACAAACCCGGCTGCAGGCCCCATCTCTGCCAGGCGGCTAATCCCTCTCGAGCCCAGCCGCACGGACAGGATGCTTCCCATGCACATTCCCGCGGGCCCCAGTCTCCCCGAGGCTGCCCGGAGCAGAGTGCATGCAGGTCGGGAGCACTGTGCTTTCTCTGCCCGCTCCGGCTCCCCCAAGTCCCCCACGTCCGACTCTGGAGCCCCTGCCCCTGCCCCAAACCATTGCTCTTGCATCCCCAGAGAGCCACGAGCGCGCTGCCAGCCCCCGGGCCCTACCTGGCGATCGGCAGCTGGACTTGCGAGGCGCTAACGTGGCCAGGCAGCATGCCGACAGGGTTTATATAGCCTCCAGATAGAGACGAGCAGGGAGAGCATTACCGAAACCCCTAACTCAGCACACGGGCCGGGAGGGGGAGGGAGGCCCGTGGAGAACAAAAGCCACCCTATAGAGGAGCGATGCACAGGGAGGCCGGTGGGCAGGTGCCCCCAGCCCTGCCTGAAGGCGGCATCTCCCTCAGGCCACTGTGCGCAAGCATCGAGGCCTCGCCGTGCTCCCCTCTGGTGCCAGCCGCCACCCCGAGCCAGCGTGCTAGGAGCTGAATGCGTCTCTCCAGCACTTTGCCCAGGGCTGCGTGCAATGGCCTCGGGTACAGCCGGGGGGAGCAGGGGCAGGGGTTGCACCCCAGGTCCCTGGCTTTCCAATTCGGTTTGCACGGGATGAGGTGTCTGCTCACAAGACCATCCCTGCATGTGACACTGGGAGGCAGCCTCTGCTTGGGCAGTGTCCAGATGCCCTGGCAGCATTGCTGCTAGCCTGGCATCACAGCTGGGGCTTCGGGCGTGCAGGGAGCAGGGCCGGGCTGAACACTCGGGGGGCACCGGGGGCTGAGCTGAGCCTGCTCTGACACCCCCCTGCTGCAGCCACGAGCTTCCTAGTGAAAGCTGCCTTGGACTTGTCTTATCCACCACCATCACCCCTTCGACCACAAACCGGCAGGCAGGTCCCAGCCCCGTGGGACCGTGCACTGGGTGCTGGGAGGGGCAGCACTGCCAGCACGGCGCGTGTCCAGACCTCTGCTCCTCTCCACCCATGCCCTCGGCCGTGACTCAACAACTCCCGGCTCGGCGGCTGCACGTCTGGCACAGACAACGGGGGGCGTTTGGGGGGATTAGAGTGATTAGCACGAGTCTGGCGCTGCGCTGGGGCACACTGGGGAAGGCAGACAGCCAGATCTCCAGATTTCTCCCCTGCTGTTTTGTGGGCCTGCATACAAGCAGCGATCTCAGGCAGGCTCGGATGCACGCACAAAGCCAGCACCCAAGTAGCCCCCTGCATTTCTAACACGGAGAGGTGACCATTGCCCGCCTCGTTCAGGGCCGCATCCAGCTCAGGGGTGTTCTGGATGAGACCTCGTCTGCGCAGATAACGGGCAGTTGATCTTGGAAGGGGACGTCCATGGTTGCTGGGGTGCAAGCCATCCCGGCCTGATAACACGGATGTGCAAACAGGATAAAGTCCAGCTCGGGAACATGTGCGCTCAGGGCCTTGAAGAGGCCAATTTAGCAAAGCTGAAAACAATTATGAGCTGCACCAAGCGAGAGACAGAAATGTCAACAGAAAAATCAGAGCCTAATTGGGATCTGCTCGAGAACATTTGATTTGCTGCCAAACCCCCCTGCCCGTTCAGACAGAAGGCTGCAGTGGTTAAAAGATGGGGCTGGCTTAGCAGGGAAGTAAAAGCAGCTGTAAAAAGAGAAATATCTATAAAACAAATGGAAAAAGCGAAGGGGTTGGTTAGCCACAAACGTAAACGGAAAGCTGGGAAAGGCATGACGTTGATAAGGGAAGGAAAAGGGCGCAAGGAAAAATCTATGGGCAGTAAAGTTAAAGACAATAAAAAGACGTTTTGAAGGACATTAGGAATCGATTGAGTCCAATATGAGACGGACCTGGTAGAACTGTCAATAAAAATGCAGAGAAAAGCAGAACTGTTCGCTCCATATTTATATATATATATATATGTGACGGGGGGCGAGCCGGATGTTGTAGTCACATCATATGCTGGCATCCTACTTTCTATTCCAGATATAGCTAAGGATGAAGTGAAACAGCAGCTGCTCCAACAGGGCATGCTGAAATCAGCAGGTCCACCTATGAGTGCATCTAAGAGTTTTAAAAGAGCTGGCCAAGGAGCAATCTGGACCAACTGACTTTCAGCACATCTACAAATACTAGAGAAGCTGCAGAGCCCTGAAGGAAAGTCAGCGCTGTTGCAGTGTCTGAAAAGAGTTAAGTTGATGCCTGGACTGAAGATCCCGGTCTGTCTCTCAGGCCTCTGGTAGGATCTTGGGAGGATCCTGGAACAGCTGATAGGGGACTTGATTAATGTGCAATTAAAGAGGGTAATGCAATCAATGATAAAGAGCATGAGTTGATGCCTTGTCTGGCGGACAGCACAGGTGAGGAGGATTGAGGAAAGAGCGCTGACACGATGTCTTGAGCCTTTGATTAGAGGGTTTGACCTGGTACCACGTGGCTTTTTGTTATGGTGGCATAGATGTAATGGTTTAGCAGCCAGCTAACTGATTGCTAGAGAACAGAAAGTGATGGGGAGAGTGGGATCCACCCACCCCAGAAGATTTAACCCTTTGGGTCTCACTGGTGTGCCAGCATCTGCACAGCTGTGCCAGGATTTAACCCAGGCTCCACGTCGCGGGCAGATGAGATATGGGACTGGGACCTGCACGGCTCTGTGGGGGTGCCTAGAGGAGCAGCCACGGGGTCAGGAGAGCCCTTCGGGGGTATTGGGGCCGGGGGGCTGGGCGTGCACCCGGCTGGGCGTCCACGCTCCGGGCAACAGGCCTCCAGGGCTGGGTGCAAAGTGTCTCTGTCAGGCCTTTCCGTTGTGCCCGGGGCACACAATGGAAATGCTGGGCTCAGCGGCTGTGCCGGGGCCCTGGGCCAGGCTTCCAGCTCACTGCCCGTATTGGGAGATGTGATGACTGGGAGCTTCGGGGCAGACACTGATGAGCTAGCACTTCCTTTGTGCGCCAGCCCGGGGCCCGGCCTTGCCAGGCTATAAAGTGGGGCCCGCGCGGCACCCCCAAACACAAGCCTGCTCCCTCCACCCGACGCAGCAGCTGCCCAGGTAAGAGGAGGCAGCTCCCCGAGCGCAGGGCCGGGACCCGGCTCGGGGCAGGGGCAGAGCACCGGGAGTGCGAGGCCCACGCTCTCAGCCAGCGGGAGGAATGCATGCACGCATGCATGCACACATGCACTCACACTCCTCTGCACACTCGCAGCCTCCCTGCCTGGCAGGGCGGCGAGGACACTGCTGCCATGAGGCTGCAGCGACCTGTGGAAGGGAGCGAGGGGGGGAAAGGAGCTGCAGGCTCCCCGGCTAGTGGGGTAACAGATGTGGGTGCAGAGGTTTGTAGCTCCTGGGAAAGGAACCTGTAGCCGAGCGATGCTTGTGTGCCCAGGGGAGCTCTCAAGCTGGCATCAGGGTGGAGGCTGGCAGGTCGGGATCCCCAACCCGGACGGCTCAGGACCTACGGTGTCTCCGCTGTCACCCGGGACAGCCCCCGGGGAGGGGTGGAAATGCAAACGCCCGCTCTGGGATCATTGGGCATGGGCTTCCCATAGGCACATGCCAAGCACATCTGACATCCGCCATCCAGCTCCGGGGGCCACTAGCCTGGCAGGACCAGCACTGCGGGGCTCAAGATGTCTGGGGATGAGGGGGTTTGGGCTCTGGGGGCACTGGGAGGAGGATGCTGGGCCCCAAGAAGGAGGATGTCTGGGACCTCTGGGACTGCCCCTGGCCTGCTAACCTGCTCTGCTCCGCAACTCGCCAGCCCGGAGCCACCCCCGCCATGTCCGACACCACCAAACCCGCTGCACCCAGCCAGGCAGTCGATGACAAGGACAAGGGGGTGCCGGCCCCGGCGCCCGTCGCAGACCCCATCCCCGTGTCCAACAGCAAAGGAGAAGACTCTGCACTGGAAGGCTTCAGGGTAAGGAGGCTTCTCTGTGCAGGGGTCGTGGACCAGCCTGCAGCCGGGGTGGGTGGAGGTGTCCTGCCCCGCAGTCCCAGGGTCGGAGCCCAGCCTGTGCAAACCTGGAGCTGGGCGTGAGGTAGGGGCAGGAGCCTGGGGGCACTGGGATGGGCACCTCCAGCACTGCAGGCAAGAAGGAAGCAGGCAGGGAGAGAGGTCCAGTGGGGAAGGGTCCGGCCCTGGGTGTGCTGACACTGATCCGGCGCTCCCCGCAGATTGTCGTCTTCGAGCAAGAGAACTTCCAGGGCAAGAAGATGGAATTCACGGCCGAGTGCCTGAACCTGGGCGAGCGCGGGTTCGACCGGGTGCGCAGCGTCATCATCAACTCTGGACCGTGAGTGGCACCCGTGTCCAGCTGTGGGGCTCGAGGGCAGGACCCAGGGGAGGAGAGCTGGCTGGACCCCGGTCGGGCTGGGGTGCAGCGCAGGAGGCCAGGCCAGATCCCCCTGGGGAGAGCACAGGGGCCCATCCACGCTGCCGTGCTTGGCCCCTTGCCTCAAACCATCCCGAGGCCTGCGCAGGCTGCTTCCTCGCTGCCGCGGCTCTGCATCCCCTGGCCGGAGCGGTCTCCAGAGCTCTCTGCGGATGCAGGGAGACCCCAGGCTTGCTAAGGCAGCCGGGCAGGGGCTGTGCAGTCCGGGCTGCCCCCGGATAGCCATAACCCGGCCCGCCCCCATCCACTCTGGCCTCCCCTCTCCGCAGCTGGGTGGCCTTCGAACAAGCCAATCTGCGCGGGGAGATGTTCATCTTGGAGAAGGGCGAGTACCCTCGCTGGGACACCTGGTCCAGCAGCTACCGCAGCGACTGCTTCATGTCCATGCGCCCCATCAAGATGGTAAGGGCCACCGGGCGCGGAGGATAGCAGCGCCGTGACCGTCGTGGCTCGGGGGCCTCTGGGCACAGCCCGGGGGTCCTCGTGCCAGGCTGGGGAAGAGCCTGGTGGCTGCCTGCCAGGCTGGGGGGACCCCCTGCCCCGACACTGGCTGGGCCCACCCACGCTGAGTGCATTGCCCCCTCCACTGCCTTCTGCAGGAGGCCGAGGACCATAAAATCACCCTCTTCGAGTCTGCCGACTTCAAGGGCAACAAAATGGAGATCCAGGAGGACGACGTGCCCAGCCTGTGGGCCCACGGCTTCTGCGACCGCGTGGGCAGCGTCAAGGTGTCCAGTGGAACGTAAGCACCGCGCGGCTCGCGGAGCCCCGGCTCGCCTTGCTGCCCCAACCCGGCTTGGGGGGGGTCCCCAGGGATGGAGCGACATGCACGGGCTCCCCGGTGGGAAGAGAAGTCGGGGACTCCCAGTAGCCCCCTGCTCTGCACCGGGTCTCGTGGCCTGTCCAGGCTGATCCGGGGCTCCGGGTTGCAGCCCCGCTGCCCCGATTCCCTCCCCGCGCCTCGGACACGCGCTCTCTCTGCTCTCCCTTGCAGCTGGGTCGGGTACCAGTACCCTGGCTACAGGGGCTACCAGTACCTCTTTGAGCGCGGGGACTTCCGGCACTGGAACGAGTGGTCTGCCTTCCAGCCCCAGATCCAGTCCATCCGCCGCATCAGGGACCTGCACTGGGACCGGAAGGGCACCTACGACACCCCCGAGGCCCCCTCCAACTGAGCACACTTGCCGCTAGCTGACGCACCCCGGGCCATGTAGCACCTTGACATTCCCGCTCCCCTAGGGGAGCACCCCCCTTGCTCCCGCGCGCTCCCCGCACCCCCGGCACTTTCCTTGTACAGTGCACACCCCCACTGGATGTCCTTTACATTGTGATGCAGATTAAAAAGAGTCACGAGAGCCCCGTGGCCCCCCGCGTCTGGTGTGCGCCGGGTCGGGCTGCCTTCGCCCCTCGTTCGGACGTGCCGTCGGGGCAGGTCTCGGGGATCGCTCCCCGGTCCGGCGGGTGCAGCGGCTCAGGTGCACGGGGGCTATTGGCGGAGCTTGCCTGCAGGTGGGAGCCAGGTGTTTGCCCACATCCTGCTGCCGTACAGCTGCCACACGCTTCCTGCACTGGGACTGCAAGAAGGTGCATCATCAAAGCTCCCCGGGGGGGATCCCCAAAGCCCCGGGGGCAGGCAATGAGGGCTTCCCCTGTCGCCCCGGCACCCACAGCTTGGTGGGGCCAGCCCCCGGCTGAATCTCCCAGCCCGCAGCCACGGGGCTGGCCCACGGGGGATCCCTGCAAGGCTGGTGTTTCCCCAGCGCCAAACCAGCCTGAAAGAGGACAGACCCGGGGAGCAGCCAGGAGCGAGGGCTAGGGTCTGGTGTAAAGCAGGAGGCTGCGTGCCAGCCCCGGTTTCAAGCGGCAACAGGATTTCCTGTGCTTGCAAAAATAAACAGCGCTGAAAGCCGCGCTGGCAGAACGGCGAGGCCTGCAGACAGCTGTGGGGGCCGGGCCGGGCCCTTGCGCCGCACGCCCCCGCCTCGGGCAGGACGGCTCGTCCTCCGCTCGGCAGCTGGCAGCAAGGCTGCGGTCTCGCCTGCCAGCCGGGCCTGGGCTGCGCCGGGGAGCATCCCCCCGGCATCGAGCGCCGCGGCTCCAGGGTGCTTCTCGCAGGCTCCCTTTCTGGGCTCGATACCGGCCTCCCCCTCTGCCCCAGCGGCTCCTCTCTTGGGGGGCTTTCTAGGGGTCTGGGGGGGGCTTTCTCCCCTGTGCCCATTATCAGGTCAGAGCTGGCGGCACACGGATGCTCATCCAAAGGCAAAGAGGAGGGCAGATTTGGGGGTGCAAAAGGCTTGGGGGGGCAGAGCCCCCGTGGAGGGGGGGGGCAGGTGTGACGGGCGGCACTGGGGGGATGAGCGTGTTGTGCCCGCTGAAGAGCCTGGCGTCACGTGGGCACCCCGCTGTGGATGCACACAGAAGCCCACCCTGTACACACGAGGCCCCGCCTGCACACACACAAGCAGCAGCCCACGCCTGCACATAAGCCCACACCTGAATACGCACACACACACACACAGGTGTGCACACAACAGCTCGCACCTGCACATATGTACACACACACAGGAATACATGCCTATACAGATGAGTACACACACGGGAGCCCACACACGCAAGTGCATGCAGCAGCCCGCGCCTGCACTCACACACGAGCCCACACACATGTGCATGTACGTGCACACAGCAGCCCATATCTGCATGCACACACGCACGCGCGCCCACGCACACAAGCCCATGCACACACACACGTGCATACAGCAGCCCACATCTGCATGCACGCACACACACACAGGAGTTTGCCTGCATGTGCATGCACGCACACACACAGCAGCCCACATCTGCGTGCATAAACACACGCATACAGGAGTGCACCTGCACGCACACGCACACACACACAAGCCCATGCACACACACACGTGCATACAGCAGCCCACATCTGCATGCACGCACACACACACACACAGGAGTTTGCCTGCATGTGCATGCACGCGCACACACAGCAGCCCACATCTGCGTGCATAAACACACGCATACAGGAGTGCGCCTGCGCACACACGCACACAGGAAGCCGCACACGCATTCGCACACACGGATGTATGCACACAGCCGCCCGCATCTGCACGCGCGAGCGTGCGCGCGCCGCCGCCCC